GGTATGGAGGCACAGAGAAAAAACGATGATCGTCATCATCCTTTCTCATTGAACACGCATCACTGACCGCCGGCTTAGCGGCCAAACGAGGAAATGCGAAAAGAAAAATTGGAAGTGGAAATGGAAGTGGAACTGAAACCTGGAACGAGACCTCTGGAAATTGTTCGAAATCTTTTTTAGACTCCCAAAAAAATTTACAGAAAGGGCATTCTCTTAAGGTTACCTTTTCAAATATGTCTTTCTTTTGAATTCTGAATTAGAGCAATGTTTAGTTCTCGAGATCTTTTAAAACTTCCTCGTTTCCGTAACGCCCGATCTTGTCTGACCGATACAGACGTACTGACGCTGCGGAAAGGATCTCCATTAAATAGACGATAGATCATAGCACTCATATACTTAATTCCCTAATTTCTTTCGCGTAAAAATGCGATCAACTTTCCACTGACAAAATCTTTATTCCGCTATCCAAATTTGTGATATTCAAATTTACCCGAATTTTCTTCGTTAAATGAATGAGGGGGGGGTATAAAATTGTTTGAATTTCAGTCATAGGAGCATATTTGATCAGATTAATTTGATTTTCGAACTCAGATTTTTTTTCAAAAAAGATTTTTGAACTAAGAATAAGATTAACATACTGCATGTCAATTTTCTCTCTATAACCCTTTTGTTTTTGCCTTTTTCTTTTTTGGCTCGTTTTGGTTCTTTGGTGAATTTTTTCCTAATGGAGGAGGAGAAGGAAGCGCCAAGTGTCCGCGTTTTTTAAAATCCCACAGCTCCCAGTTCGATCGTGTCCTAGGAGATCCATAGAGGAAAGAAAAAGTCTGTGAATAGACTCGATATTCACAGCTCTAAAATGGGTAAGTTTTTTCAGTCAGTTGGCTCACGAACTAATGTATCATTCATGTTCGAACTTGTTACCATGCAACAATCTTATCTTCTGTTGTTGGGTTATTGAATGTTACAGGTCCAGCAAAAATTTACAATGCTCAAAAAATTTTAAAGATTCTGAACATCCTCGCAAATAATATATCTCTCTCGATTTATTCCAAGAACCCTAAGCCAATAATCTCCGTTCCCGAAATTAACTAAAGAATCGTCACGCTGCCTTCCTCTTCCCTTAAGGAAGCGTGACCTTGTAATGAGATTACAGTAAACAAGATGGCGGCACGCTCGGTGGTAATAAGCGCAGTCATTGCGGTGATCGCAGTTCTCTATGGAGGTAGAACATACATTCAAGGACCTCGCTGCCAGAGCAATAGACACATCAAAGGCAAAACTGTGGTTATAACAGGCGGAAATACCGGTATCGGCAAAGAAACGGCGATGGACCTGGCAACACGTGGTGCGAAAGTAATCATCGGTTGCCGCAACTTAGAGAAAGGCCAGGCGGCAGTGCAAGAGATCCAAACGCGAAGTGGAAACGAAAAAGTCTTCGTCGAGAAACTGGACCTTTCATCTTTAGCTTCTGTGAGACAGTTTGCTGATGGAATTCTGAAAAACGAGCCGCGCTTAGACATTCTGATAAACAACGCTGGAGTGATGGGATGCCCTTACCAAATGACTGAAGATGGCTTGGAAATGCAGTTTGGAGTGAACCACATAGGGCATTTTCTCTTAACTTTGCTTCTCCTTGATTTAATGAAACAATCGGGTCCGAGCCGAATCATAAATGTGTCTTCTTTGGCTCATAGGTTCGGTACTGGTGTTATAAACTTTGATGATATCAATGCAGAGAAGGATTACGATCCCTTTGCAGCGTATCAACAAAGTAAGCTCGCTAACATACTCTTCACAAGAGAGCTAAGTGTGCATCTCGAGGACACAAACGTGACTGTGAATGCACTTCACCCAGGGTTGGTAAACACAGACATCCAACGTCACTCTTTTATTTCCGGTTTAGTATTTTTTCCACTCCGCTGGTATTTTTTCAAGACTGCAGAACAGGGAGCCCAGACTACTATTCACTGTGCGGTGTCAGAGGAAATGGAAGGAGTTAGTGGTAAATACTTGGCAGACTGTGCCTTTAGAGACCCCTCTATAGGTGCACAGGATGATGAAGCTGCAAGAAAATTATGGGATATTAGCATGGAGCTTGTTGGTTTAGAGGACCACGAGATCTAATAGTCCTCTAAGTTTGTATGTTTTGTTTACCCATTTCAGGTCATGTGATAATAATCTAAAGTACTGTTTCTTTCAAATTTCCTCTTATTTACTTGCAGATGTATGCATAATTTAGAAAAGATAAAGCTGGGAATTCCCTTCAGACCTGAAATGGGTAAACAAACCATGGAAACTAAAGAGTCTGTTCAGTGAAATGGCTAGTGTGCTATTGTGTGTCAATCTATATGTATTTTTTTATGGATATGTGAGACTAGGTACAATTAACCCCACAGGAGCAGTGCTCTTTGTCAGTGTCACTAAACAATACTAAGTCAAGATATTTCTGAAATCTGACTGGTTGGTCAAACGAACATGATAGAAAGTAAAGAAATAGGAAACAAGTTTCTGCCCAAGCTTATAGAAAAAAAAGAGCTTTCAACTCAGTGCACATTATATAATAACCTGCATCACACACACATTTTGAATGATTCTTACAATATTTTGGAGGACAGCAGACACACTGGTGATGTCACCATTAATAAATTATTGCTTCTTCATTATATAAACAATTAGATTCTATGTTACCATGGGTCTGTTAAGAAAAATACAGCACAGATGATGTCAAAATGTCCACATTTTGACATCACTTGGCTAGGCCTCATGCACCTCTTTTTTTCTTCTACCAAATTTTGATGTCATATTTGATCTGTTACTGAACAGGCCCACAGTGATTTGGAATTTATTTATTAAATGCATGGACCTGACCTAAAGAATATTACCATTGATATGAGATTTATCCATGGTGGACCATGTTCCATTACATCATTGTGAAACTTGGAAATCTTAATACCAGAACTATTTAAGGAATGGTATTGTGTTTCAAGGAAAAAAAAAACACTTAAGTGTGAGAAAACCAAACTGCAAACATCAGCGCTAACTAGTTTGTGGTTTTGAAGTTTGTTTATGTGTTTTGAATTGAACTCTTGTGATTGCCTAATTCACAACTTGTTGTAAAAAATGATTTTCACTGTGACAATCTCACTTGAGATAGAGACTACGAGTAGAGAAGCTAAATGAATCAGTCAGTTATAAATTAAGGGTTTGAGCCAAGTCAGTTATGGTATTTTTCCAGTCCTTGCTTTGTGAAAGTTAGTCCTTTCACTTGCTTGTCATAAATGTTAATTTTGTGCACAATCTGTGCTATATCTCTCATAATTTAAGCTCTGAGAGTATGGTGGTAAATCAAACTATATCCCCAGAGAAGATTTATATTTCCATTTATATTGACATTTTTAGGAGAAATTGCTTTTTGGTCTTTTGGTTCATGAGAGATGGGGGCCTTACCCAAGCCTGATTCTCAGACTATCTGAAGTTTCTTTCTCAAATCCTCCAACGCAAAGCACTTTTCATAATCTGAGAATCAGGTTAAAGGGTAGCCAATTAAAAAGATTATGATATTTTTTTATCTAGGTCTTAATAACTGGGTTAAGATTTGAACTATCTAGGACTTGCACATATGAGAATGGCATCCATGTGAACACACTTCATAAACCAATACTGATAAATTAATTGATAAATTTTTTCAATATTATTATGATGATTATATTTATTTCCATGATTTATTTATTGATATATGTCATCAACACTGTTATGATGAACTCTGCGATTCTATAATTGTATCAAATGTATTTTGGGCAAGAAATGGCAATGTGTGGGCTTACTGTTGATCAGTTTGCACCAGTGTATGTCTTTTTGTACCTTTGTGTCCCACTATCTTTAATAAATCTGCTTTACCCAGAAGGAAATTGTTCTTTTCTTAGAAACATTACTTAACTACTTCAAGCTACTATCTCTGTAATCTGGCATCTTTCATATTTGAAAGCTTTATAGCCAGTGGCAGTGCTACATCCTTACTCCTACCCAAACCATCCCCATCTAATGTCTATCAGGATGAGCATTTTTAAATTCCTACTTTTTCCTTCCATTTAAATGAACTAATGAGGTTTAACCTTTTACACACTAATATCAGTATGCATATTTCCATACTGTTCTCTCATTGTCTAAGGAGTTGACAGGGTACAGGGTACCTAAGACTTTCTTAACTTTTCATGGGATCTAGGTCTGGCAGATCGTTTGATCTTCTCTCGGATTCATGGCCTCAGTTATATCACGTGCAAGGCTCTCGGATATCATCCCTGAATCAAACGTTAAGGTCACGAGAATAAGGGAAATGATCACCAACTTTAGAAGAACTTGATTGTTGAACAAATTCTCCTTGTCAGCACCTCAAAAAATGTGTAGAAAACAGTATGGAGAGTATGCATATTAATAGTGGAGCTCGCGTAGCCCCATGATTATACAAAATAGTAGTAACCCATCAAGCCGAAAAAATTTGGACGTACGACCGCACGACCGTACGACCAACCGTACATGGTGCTACTTTTAGCATGCGCGGCCAACTGTACCACGGACACTATCTTATAATCAGTCCTCTACACGGACACGGAGAAGTTGCGAATGAAAATCCATTAATATTACCACGCACTTTATCCATAGTAGGGGCTTTAGTTTTGTTGAAGAGACGTGCGGGAAAAAAAAATGCGAGCTCCGCTTTTAGGCTTGCCTAAATTTATATATTATCAGGATGTAAAGGGTTAAATGGAAACGATCAAGATGCTGTCTCCGCTGACTGGTGTAAGACGAGTCCTGTGAGCAGTCTCTTGGTTACAAAGTTAGTTAACTACAACCTTTTTTCTTTATAACAAATATTTGTGAGAAATAGTGTTACTGGGAGACCTCTAAGAATCTACGTTTTGAGCAGCGAAGAGCCTGACTTAAGGAAAATGAAGGTCGCCAGTGGTTAGATAGCGCTTAACTGTTCTTTATTCATATTATGGTCCATTTATGGACCGTCAAAAATTGCAAAACCGACTATATTTCAAGTCGTCTTGCGGGGTATTGGGAAAAGTTTTCAATCAGCAATAACCGCGCCTCGGATAAACCTCATTAGCTACGGTAATGCCACTGCGCAAAGCTAACAGGCAAAGGTGAGGAAAGAGGGTTTGTCAGACATTCAGTTGTCTTCCATGTGGTCATAAGTGAATACAATTTACACTGAGTTGCATTGTAGTGCGCATGCCAAGCTTGCATTAATGTCTCTCTCCGGGACTGCTT